TAGTAGAGTCAATGCCATAGAGATGGATGATCATTAACACTCTAGATTAATAGAATTACTCAATTGAAATGGTGGTACGTTATAAAAAGAAAAAAATCCAATCATATCTTTTACCAAAAAAATAAAAAAAATTGAAGGAACAGAGAGAAACCAAGCCAAAAAAGGAAGTTGATCGTGCAACGTGCTTGTATCAGTGCTCAAATTCATAGTAAAGGTGATGAGATTGGGAATAACTCAAATCAGTGTTGGCTAAGTGGCCTTACCCAAATCGAATCATGCTACAAATCCAGGCTCAAATCCAGGTGGGACACGTGTCGAAACCTAGTTGGACAGATTGAAAATTTAAAACAAAAACAGCCAATCAATTTCTGACAAATCAGTATGTCTCTCGCTTCCCTGTTTTTCACCCTGGCTAAGTGGCTTTACCCAAAGCACTCCCATAAAAGGAAGCTGTCTATTCCCAAAAGGCTTTAGGGGCCTAAAATGGACAACAATGCAGCACACTATTAAATCCTATCAAATTTAGACTGAAATTGGATATCTTGTTCATTCAGTGATAAGATCTAGATTTGAGTTCTATTTTATCATTTCTCCTTTGTATAGTGTCGGACAGCAAAGGCCAACCCTAAGATCAAGAGAGGTACAAGAAACTGCAAAATCTTGATCACAAACTCAGGAGTCTTGTCTGGATTATATTGGGCTTGTTGTGGTGGAACGTAAGTGCATTTCAGGGGAACTGTTGACATGTCTATCTCCCCAATGTAATATTTGTCCATCATCTCTCTAGCAGAATCACTGTGGCCGACATCCTCAAAGTCATTGGTTGCATCTTTTCCTGCAAATCGCAGATAAAATTCAGGAAAAAAATCTTGCTTATTATAAGTGAGATCATAATTGTAGGTCAAAGTGGCAAATGTTAAGATCATAGCAGCGTTACCACTTACCAGTTGCCGAGAGCAAAACTTCATCACCTCCAGGATGATCATCCATGAATGGGGTCACATCATATACCTGATGAAACAATGTGCAGAGTTTAAATTGGGTCACTAACTGTATGTTATCCGAATATAACTTAGGAGCCCGAGGATAAACTCCTCTCACCAGTTTTATGGTCTAATTTGGAATCTAGCTCGTGCGATTTGCATATTTTTCCAATGTGAAATCCCACCAACCATCAATTTTCTTGGGTGTAGAAGGAAAATCAATTACTCAAAAATTCTAGGAAACTTCACTATTGTCTATTCACAGAGACTGTTGCCAAAAGCAACTGCTGCTCCTACACATTTGACTAGTCTCTCAGCTAGCAAATGCTACAATTCAAAGGTTGGTTGATGAAAAGGTAGCATAAGACCTTATGGCCTGAAGATGCATGTTAGAATTAAATCATTTTCAACAAATACCAGAACATCAGAGCTGCTTTCGTTAACAAATATGTATGTGCATGTTTGGCTTCATGCAGGAAGCAGAAATTGGCCTTAATGAAGGAAACATTTGTCAATAAAGTTCTTTGGAAGTTTTCATTGCATGCTAAGTCACAATTTCTATGAGGGACCATTCTCTTAACTATTTCATCAATGGATGCTAACAAGTTTTCATTCCCCACATTTATTTATTGTAAATCAGCAACAGAAAATTCTTGAGGAATTTCAAAGTCATTTAGCTTAATACATACAATGAAAATTTAAATGTAAAATCTTTTGTTCTTTCTTGTTTCAACAATTTTAAGTGGAAAAATCTTGTGCACATCCTACGTTTATCTTCATTACTCTGTTCACTTTCAGTTATCTCGGCAACCTATAAATAGTTGTTAAGATATAGAAAAGAACTAAAAGGAAATCACAATTATAAATAGTGCCATTCACTGCAATTTAACTAGGCCCTGAACTCAATTTCAGTAAATATAATTATAAAATTTGTCTTACTATACATAAAATATACTAAATTCAAATTTAATTGCAAATTAGTGGGGTTAATTAAATCATAGTCCTAAGATTGAGATATCAGCTACATAGCACCAAAATTGTGAGATCACAATTTATCAAGTGTAAAAATAGATTTTCCATTGGAACAGTCTAGAGTACCACAAGAAAACTGTTGGGTTTTGATACCCAATAAATATCGGACAATGATTTTAAACGGTTTGATTTAAATTTCATAGGCCTCAGCTGTGAGTGAAATTATTATCAACAATTCAATTTATTGTCTTGACCCGAAAATAACTTGAGCTATTAAAAGCAGCTTATTAATTAAGATTGCTCATGGGCCAAATTCACTTATTGGAGGGCTCTTATGGTCTTGGCCATTTACCCCTTCATCTTGGCCCAACTAGGTTTATAACCCATCTCTATTTAAGCCTCCTTTTGGTTACTGTAACCGTGTATGTATTTGCTTGAAATCAGTGGTTGTCGTCTCGTTGTGCTCGAGATTAACCTTATTCCTCCATTGTTTTCTTTCCTTTGTGGATGTAAATCCATCACCATAACCGAGTCCTTGTGAGTGTGAAAGGAGCAACCGAAGCGAATCACAAAGTTGTGGGTTTGAGCCATTGATTGATTGTGGTTTGATATTGGTTGGTTGAAACTAAGATCGGGTTCCACTAAATCTAAGATCTTTGAGTATACTTTTGCGACAATTGGTATCAGAGCTTCAAGGTGTACTAAATCCGGCCAGAAACAGATCTGAAAAATCAACAAAAAGCTTGGAACCCATTTAACCGAACCTACAATCAAGTTTTTTGGACAATCCAAAGGTCAGTTGGACAAACTAAGACCACAGTGGTGCTTAGCAGGTGGAGGCGCCTTTATCGGTGCGACGATGCGTGTAGACCACGCACAAAGACGGTGGCCGCTCGTATGGGCGCATCTGGCAGCTTTTGGGAAAGTTTTCTTTAGGCAATTTGTTCCTTAAAGTCTTTTGACATTTGGTGTTGTTAATTTTCTGTTTCAAGTTATACTGTTAATCTAAATTGGACATTTGGTTTTGATCTTCGGCTAATAATGTTGCTACATTTGCTGAAACTTTAAGGTGAATAGCAGTAACCCTAAAGTAGCAAATTCGCATCTCTATAATTACAGACACCTAGATTTGGTCCGCTTGATAAATTGGATTATCCCTATTAAATTTATGTACTAGCAATCACCAAAATTGTGAGATCACAATTTATAAGTGTAAAAATAGATTTTCCATTGGAAAAGTCTAGTACCACAAGAAAACTGTTGGGTTTTGATACCCAATAAATATCGGACAATGATTTTAAACGGTTTGATTTAAATTTCATAGGCCTCAGCTGTGAGTGAAATTATTATCAACAATTCAATATATTGTCTTGACCCGAAAATAACTTGAGCTATTAAAAGCAGCTTATTAATTAAGATTGCTCATGGGCCAAATTCACTTATTGGAGGGCTCTTATAGTCTTGGCCATTTACCCCTTCATCTTGGCCCAACTAGGTTTATAACCCATCTCTATTTAAGCCTCCTTTTGGTTACTGTAACCGTGTATGTATTTGCTTGAAATCAGTGGTTGTCGTCTCTTTGTGCTCGAGATTAACCTTATTCCTCCATTGTTTTCTTTCCTTTGTGGATGTAAAACCATCACCATAACCGAGTCCTTGTGAGTGTGAAAGGAGCAACCGAAGCAAATCACAAAGTTGTGGGTTTAAGCCATTGATTGATTGTGGTTTGATATTGGTTCGTTAAAACTAAGATCGGGTTCCACTAAATCTAAGATCTTTGAGTATACTTTTGCGACAATTGGTATCAGAGCTTCAAGGTGTACTAAATCCGGCCAGAAACAGATCTGAAAAATCAACAGAAAGCTTGGAACCCATTTGACCGAACCTACGATCAAGTTTTTTGGACAATCCAAAGGTCAGTTGGACAAACTAAGACCACAGTGGTGCTTAGCAGGTGGGGGCGCCTTTATCGGTGCGACGATGCGTGTAGACCACGCACAAAGACGGTGGCCGCTCATATGGGCGCGTCTGGCAGCTTTTGGGAAAGTTTTCTTTAGGCAATTTGTTCCTTAAAGTTTTTTGACATTTGGTGTCGTTAATTTTCTGTTTCAAGTTATACTGTTAATCTAAATTGGACATTTGGTTTTGATCTTCGGCTAATAATGTTGCTACATTTGCTGAAACTTTAAGGTGAATAGCAGTAACCCTAAAGTAGCAAATTCGCATCTCTTTAATTACAGACACCTAGATTTGGTCTGGTTGATAAATTGGCTTATCCCTTTTAAATTTATGTACTAGCAATCCATCGCGTGGGTTGGCCATTAGGATTACTGTTTGGGGTAACCGTTACTTGTGCTAGAATTTAGGAATTATTTGTCCTCTTTGAAGTGTTTAATTTAATTGGTAAAAGTTGCTCATTGATTCTATAATACAATTGCCTAAGTCACTGTGTGAGACGTATATTGTGTGAGAAATATTTTCGTTGACATACCTCTGTATTGTATTGATTATTTCGTTAAAACGCCTAAACTTTATCTATTATATCATTTCCTTAATCTGAGATCACGAATCTTACAAAACCCCAATAATTTAAAATAGTGTATATTGTGACCTTAGGACTACTTTGTATGTTCTAAATGTGTATGTGTTTTTTTGGTTAATCTGTATCCAAAAACGTCCACATTTTGATTTGCAAATTTTCAATGGAAAAAAAACTTTTTAATTTGGCAACAAAATAAGCGGAGGATCTTGGTTCAACAATATATTTCAAAAGCCATAGATGGCAATTTTTCTACTGATTTGTCAAAATAACAAAAAGAACATAATGAAGTTGCTTACACTTCAATTATTTTACACCTATCAGATGCTGTTTTGAGAAAAATTGATAAGCTTCAAATCACGAAAGAACTTTGAAAAACGTTGGAGTACTTTTATTTGCTTAAGTCAACTCCTAACAAAATTTACTTGAAAGATTTTTCAGTTTTAAAATGAATCATTTAAAGGATCTTGATAATAATTTGGATGTGTTTAACAAACTTGTACAATACATTGTTAATTGTGATGAAATTGTGTTCGAAACCTATAAGGTCATTATTTTGTTTAATTTCATGTCTGACGCATATATAAGAAGATTAAGAATACAATTAAGTATGGTAGGGACACCTTAACGCCAAAAATTATCATTGATTCTCTTAGGAGTAAAGAGACGAAGATTAGATCTAAAAAGAGGATAAGAAAAATGGTGAGGTACACGTGATGAGAAGTATAATATACTTTAAGCAAACAGTCATGTGAGAAATCAAAACAGTAGTGACTTAGTGATGATGGGGGTAAAAAGAAGAGCATAAATTGGGAAGAGTCTAAGTCCAATACAAGTGATAAGGCTCTTATAATTGTAGTAAGTCTGGATATTTTATAAATAATTGTCCTAAGAAGAAGAATAAGCATAAAGATAAGGTGGGAGGTAACACAAATGTTACTATTGGGTCTATTTATGATCCAAGTAAGGTTTATTGATAAGAAACCTGATTACTGCATTTGCATCTGTGTGAAATCTCATTTGCAGTAATGATTGTTTGATTCGCTGCATTGTTTTATATTAAATTTTAATATGGCTGATGTGTGTATTTACATGAATTTGAGAGTAATCTTGTTACAGTGTGTAATGTGTTTGTATGCTAGTAGTTGAGATACATTAGCAGTATGTCCATTGGTAATATAGAGTATAGATGCCTGAAAGTGGAGTGACATTTGGATCACGAGAGATGATAGTGATTAAATGTTTGCATCCTCTATCGGTTAGAATCCCTAATGGGGTGGAGTGAGAGAGTAATACTTCTATCACCTCTATTAGGTGGAGACTCATTATCCACTTAAGTTGGAAGATGCGAGATAGTGATAAAGGAACATCTCATAGACTTGAAATTTGTTGTGGTTTACCAGTTGAGCATGAGGAGTAAGAAGAGTGACCAATCTAGTGAGTACGGTTGATAATGAGAGGAGATATGTGTTCTTAAGATACGAGCTACAAGGAATGGGGTAGAATAATTGTGGTGAAATCTTTTCATGGGATCATTTATACATTGATTGTATATGTTGGCCATACTTGATTAACTTGGCGTTAATTTAATGTTCTTCGTATGTTGAACATGTTGAAAAGATCGATGTATTATCCTGTGACGTGTCTATTATATGTTCTTGATTGATTACCGTGAATATCTATTTCTACTTGGTTTCTTGACCTTGGCCCTTAATGAGTACATAGAGCATGTATGATATGTGTTTCGGGTATGAGACATAGGTAAGGTTTGTGATATCTAATTTGATTTGGTTAACTTTATTAGGCAAGTATAAACTTTGTATTGTTTGCTTGTAAGTTTATTGGGTATCAAGTTGGAGATTTGTTGGATTTTAACACCCAATAAATATCTGGCAATGATGTTAAACGGTTTAAATTAAATTTCATAGGCCTTAGCCGATGAGTAAAATTATCATCAATGCATCAATTTATTGGCTCGACCCGAAAATAACTTGGGCATTGACAGTAGCTTATTAATTAAGATTGCTCATGGGCTTATTGGAGGGCTCTTATAGTCTTGGCCCAACTTGGTTTATAACCTATCTCTATTTAAGCCTCCTTTTGGTTACTGTAACCGTGTGTGTATTTGCTAGAAAACGGTGGTCGCCGTCTCTTTCTTTGTACTTTTGAGATTAACCTTATTCCTCCATTGTTTTCTTTCCTTTGTGTCTGCAAATCCATCACCATAACCAAGTCCTTGTAGGTGTGAAAGAAGCAACCAAAGTGAATCACAAAGTTATTGGTTCGAGCCTTTGGGTTTGAGCCTTTGATTGCGGTTTGATATTGGTTGGTTGAAACTGAGCCCAGGTTCCAAATCGAAGATCTTGGAGCATACTTCCTCAACAAAAACCATAATTTCAATATTGAAAATTCAGAAATAGGAAAAACTCCCATAATATAATAATATGCCACTCGTAATTCTAAATCCATAATCATCAACAAATTTCTTGATTCCAACATCCATAACTCCGCACCATTGGAAAGATCACGGATAACTACGTTTACCCGCAGTCGAGTTTAATTAAAGAACAGAATATTGTGATCTAACAAATTCAAAACAGAAATAAATGAAATTATTATAGCAAAGTACATAGTAATGAACTCAAAAACAAGAAAAAAATTATCTGACCTTCCCACTAATGATTAGCCAGCAATCTTTGGTTTTGTTGTGCTTCGCAACATCCTCAAATGCGTGAACTTTCGGATCTGTCGCCATTTTTTTTCTTACAGCAACACTAGAAATTCAACAACCACAAAATTATTTCAAAAATAGTAAAATTTAAACAATCCTGGTCGATTNAATAGTAAAATTTAAACAATCCTGGTCGATTTAAATATGAATTTTTGTACATATAAGTCCGGAATCTGAATAGAAACATTAAACAAAGGCAGAATCTCAGAAGCTTACGAGAGAGACTTCAATGGAATCCAAAATTTTCTCTCTAAATTGAAGAAAAATACAAAAACAAAATAAATAAAATTATATTATAGGTCCAGATCTTGTGGATGGGGAAGTTGGGGATCTGGGCCCACCAAAATTTGATTTAGCCCATGTTTGGTTCGAATTAAATTTGATTTTAATCCAAGTCAAAATCAAACAATCAATATTAACTACATTTTTTATGGGTCTCACAACTTTTCAACCACACATTTCAAAAACTTCTATCACAATTTACTAAAAATCTAATTTTAATCCCCAACAAACACCCTCTTAGTATTTTGTTATTTTCTTTGTGTACGCTCGTCGAGTTAATTTATTCAATGGCCATTAAACTTTGCTATGATTGTTACTTGCTCATCCGATCTTTAAAAGATTTCTCGTTGCACATTGAACTTTATTATATGTTATTGCCCATGTTTGACACCCATTTCAATCTCAATCTCATTTTTTTCTCTTTCTTCATTTGAACCACATATTCTCCAAATAAAATAATATTACACAAAAATCTAAAAGCTTTCATCACGTTTCCACCACACATTCTCCCATCAATCAATATTCCAAAAATTCTATTCTCATTTTAATGAGATTCAAATGCACACATTGTTTGTTCACTTAACTTTGTTATAAGTAACAATTATGGAAATGATATGGATGATTAATGGATAACTTTATTCAAAATTTTGGTGAGCAACGAGTAATATTTTAAATTTCGATGAGCAAGTAGTAACCTATACCAAAATTTAAGGAGCAAAAAGTAATCTTTTGAATTTCGATGAGAAAGTAATAGCCTATAGCAAAATTCAATAACTATTGATAAAATTAACTCAAGTTAATCTCTTTGTAATTTATAGTTTAATTAAACTACTCGTATACTTTTGTGTATATTAAGTTTGATATTTCAAGATGTGTCAAAATCTGTGTCATTAATTATTTAAAATATTGTTAAAATCAATATATAAAAAGCTATCAAATCATAACAATGCCAAATTTGATATAACTGTAACAAAACTATTTATAATTGGCTTATTGGCAAAATAACCCCAACTTTTAGATCAATTATGAACGATTGCGTAACATGTACATAATTATTTACGCACATGATATGGTATAATATAATTGGTTCAGAATTTCTTCAATCAAATATAAAAAAAAGATCTCTACTTCCTTTTAACACCTCATTTGTGTAAATCATTATATAATTCCATTATTTACAAGTAGCATTATTCCATTGCGAAATACTCCCATCTTTTGAAATTGGTAAAAAAATCTCTATATGAAATTTGAGGTGCGCAACACAGCCTTTGAAGTGCGGAAAACCCCATGTATCATCTTTGATTTGTGATCCAACTCCTACAATCCAATTTTGTTAAGTTAGATGTTAAAAAATAGTAAAAAAAATGTCAAAATTAAAAAAAATAAAAAAATAATTGCAGGTGCAATACAAAACTTTTTTTTTGCAAATTACACAAATAACTTTTATATGTACTATCATAACTTTTCACAATCTTAAACATTTAAGGGTGTGTTTAATGAATATTATTTTGAAAAAATGTATTTTGGAATAGTAGATTGATGGAGAATGTGTAGTTGAAAAAGAAGGAAAATTTATTGATTTGATAAAAAATATTATTTTATTGAAAAATGTGTAGTTAAAAATGAGTAGAAAAATGAGAATGAAAATTTTAATGTGTGTCAAACATGGTCTAAAACTTTATCTTATTCCCCAACCCTACCTTCCATCCCACCCCACCATTAAAATTTCGTCCTTATTTGGCCCCAATTATTTCAAATTATAATGAGATGAATAATAATTTTTTAGAAAATGTGTGATTAAAAAAGAAAGAAATTTTTTTAGGTTTATATGTAATATTATTTTATTGAAGAATGTATGGTTGATAAAAAGAGACAGAAAAATGAATTATAATTTAATGAGAAATATTGAAGGTCATCTTCTTCATCATCTCATTTCACCCTACCCCACCACAAAAAGTAACCATCAAAAATACATAATTCATTCCTAGCAGTCTCCTGTGCTTTATCAAGAAATGTGAATTGCTTCATTTTTCCCTTGATTTGGGTAAAGTTTAGTGGTGGTTTCTCAAGAAAATTTTGGGATGTTGAAATCTTATAATTTTCAAATTTTTATGGTTAGATTTGAGGCAAATTATGAGTATTTGGGTTAGTTCTTGATCCGGTTAAATTAACGAGTATAAAGTCCTACAAAAACCAAACTATATTAATTAAAACATAAATTTGTAAATTTTGCAAAAGTCCCCGTTTTCAATGTGCTCTTGGATTCGGAAAAGGTAAATGAAAATTTTGTACTCAAAATGTCTTAGAATATAAATTTCATAGTAGGAAAATTAAAGAGAAATAGTTTGTCTATTGGGTATATTCCTCATCCCGGCTCTCAGTTTGATCTCACTATTGAATTAAAAGATGATTGAATCCGATAGAAAAGGCGGGAAGCTTCTTATTGAATTGAAGAAATGAAATATCTGATTTACAATGTATCAGTCATATATATATAGAAGTAACTTTATCTCGAATAAAATGACAATCGATTTCTATGTGTTTCTCCCGTTCATGAAATGTGGGATTGTTGGCAATATGTATTGCAGCTTGATTGTCACAATATATGACTGTAGAATCAAAAGGGGATATGTGAAAATCAAGACAAGTTCATTGGCAGTGGATGCGAGGGCTCCATATTCTGCCTCTGCAGAGGAGCGATAGACAGTCTTTTGTTTCTTGGCTTTCCAGGATATCATAGAGTCGCCAAGAAAGATACAAAAGCCAGTCACTGACTTTCAAGAATCTAAACATGACCCCCAATTAGCATCTGCAAAAGCTCTAAGTAGAAGGGAAGAGGCACAAGAGAAGAAAAAGCCTTGTCCAGGTGAGGCTTTTAAATACTTCAAGAGATGAAGTGCTGCAGCCATATGAGGTTGCCTTGGAGCTGACACAAACTGGCTTAACTTATGAACAACAAATGTTATATCAGGCCTAGAGACAGTGAGGTATAGTAAACGGCCAATCAACAGTCTGTAGGAAGATGCATCAGAAAGGATATTACCATCAGATGAAGTAAGCTTAGCTTTAGGATCCATGGGTGAAGAAGTTGGTTTGCAGGAAAGAAGACCAGAATCCTCAAGAAGTTGCAAGGTATAATGACGCTGAGATAAGAATAGACCACCAGCAGACCGTGCAATTTCCAGACTAAGGAAATATTTCAAAGGACCAAGATCTTTGAGTTTGAACTGGCTATGAAAGAACTTCTTCAATTCCTCAATAACAGGTAAATCAGAACTTGCAATGATTATATTGTCCACATATACCAGTAAAGCAACAAAGGATGAACCGTCGCCCTTAGTGAAGAGAGAATAGTCAGATTTTGATTAAGTAAAGCCATGTAAAACAAGGGCCTGAGAGAATTTGGAGAACCATTGTCGTAAGGCTTGCTTCAAGCCATAGATAGATTTATGCAAATGACAAACCAGCTTCTCCCCATGTCCATCAACCTTCTGATAACTATTATAACCCAAAGAAAGATCTATATACACCTCCTCAAAAAGATCACCATTAAAAAAGCGTTATTAACATCTAATTGAAATAGATGTCAGCATGTGATGGCTACAATTGCAAAAAGCATTTTAACTGTCACAAATTTTGCAACTGGGAAAAAGGTCTCCTATTGTGTATAGCCTGTAATGTACCAGATTTTATATTCTTAATTTGGT